AAATGCGGTTCTCATGTAATCAGTGTCACTTGATTTCGAATGAATCTGATAATTCCCTGTGAACAATAGTAGTCAACGTATATAGAGAGAAGTTGACAACAAATGCAACTTGCTTGACGATCTACATCAGCACACTGATGAATATGTCAACTAGCCTACAAGCTATGTTTAAAATTGCGTATTCGGGTATTGAGGCGTTTTTCATTCGTGAGGCGAGGCGTAAGCCTCAGGGTGTTTTGAGGCGTAAGCCTCAAAATCAAAAGATTGCGTAAATATAAAATGATAAATTTGTTATATACTAATGAGTGAATAATATAAAATATAAAAAAGCATAAGATATGAAGTGAAATCAAAATATCTCAATAATAAGACAACATGAAATATAATTCAACTCAAAATTCTATCTTTCTGAAACCCCAGTATTCTTTTCATTAACACATAATTTCGATTTCCAAAAATAAATAACAATGACATATCACATAAGAACTCGTAAGTCATCAGCACGATCATCACTAAGGGGTTCTTCATTTAAAGTATTATTATGGTGAACTGCTCTCTCCCCTTCCTCCTTTCCTATAGAGTTCAATATCGGGCATTTACTTCAAGATTTATGTAAGTTTTAATATATATATAGCGTGAGGGGTAAGGCTCATGCAGTGAGGCGAGGCGGGACTCAACCAAGTTGAGGCGCAAGCCTCATAAAAAAAACTCAAGGCGTAAGTATTGAGGCATTTTTTACTGGAATTGCGCAAAGGCGGGCCTCAAGGTGAGCCTCATATTGCGCAATTTTAAACCATGCATACAAGTAGTACAAATGAAATATCAAATTTAGGCTGAAGTGTGGCCCTCTCACTGGTAATGCAAGTTGAAATGTAAGAAAAACACATTGATCCCCTACAAGCAAAATGATTTGATGTACAATGAACATGATGATGCCTTGCATTCAATACTTATACATGAGATGAATCAAATGAGGATGAAAAACGTCCTATGGATATCTTCAAGGAAGCTTCGATAAAAGTATTCAAAAAGATCTGCAATACATACGAGTCCTCTACGAATACAGATGTATATGCAACATACCACCCATGGGTAGATACAGAAAGACTTCAGTAAATGTAGTATCCTGTAGTCAACCTGAGCTTGCAAATGAATACATTTACCTACAACAGTAGTGGAAATGTTGTAAGGACCAAAACAACAATGAAATATACAAAGATTGTAGTGAATGTAAGTTCATACGAGCTTCTGCAAAAGTAGGAGATTCGTTAGTGCACTACAATCTACCTGCATAAATCATGCAAGTAGTGCACGACAGTCTACCTGTACAAAGCAATAAACAACTCAATTTAGAAGTTACTACAATATGCCACCGGATCCGTAACATCCATGCAAGCAGACAGAAGGTGTTTATAAATATTCCAAAAATGCCCCCTTCACATGCACCGTAATATGTATGCACATAGGTACACAAAGGGGCAAGTACAATCATAAAACCTGCATAGGCCCCAGCGAGCGTGTTATTGATATACGCGTAACGTATAGGGATTCTGTGCGGGTCAATAAATTCGAATATGATCCTCCTAAGTAATAGGAGTCCACAAGGTTCAACAAACAACTATAAAATGCCCCCAAACATCCACACGGGCCCCGTCGAGCATGTTGTAGGAACACATGTGACGTCTAGGGATGTTGCGCGGGTCAATAAGTGAATTAAAGTTCGAATCCGATCATTCTATACGGATCAATAGGAGTCGACAGGATTCGAACCATCAAATAAATATATGTTTGTGGAAACCGGCATATTTAATTAATACATTCATATTAGGCCTTCAAGGCCTATAATCAAGAGAATTCACTAACAAAGGCATAAAGAATAGGAAACCAGATCCCCTATCGACAAATTGATAGGGTCGACAAGGTTTAATCAAATGAAAATGATCCCAAACACCCCGATGATGGCTGTGTTGAATGCAAATCTCAACCGGAGGGATCCATTCCAAATATTTCAAAAATGTCATCTCAAATACTCAAAAATTCAAAAAATCCTAGAAATCCAAAAATATTTAAAATTGAAATAAATCCATCAAAATACTTAAAGCAAAATCCATCCATCCTCCGCAACAGTTTGCCAAGGTGGACAAATTAAAATTTATTTTAGCTCACAAAGAGCTAATGCCTGGTCGAAAATATTACTAGGATCCATTCTCAAATAATCTCATGCTAGTTAGGACATGGTATGTGTCCTCTGACCGGTGGTTTTGCTGCTAAATGGCACTGTAGGATAAACAGTTATGACCCGGGGCTCTCTGAACCGAGTAGTTTTGTCGCCAAATGGCACCACGAAATACCGGTTATGGCCAGAGCTAATACGCTCTTTAGTGGCATCAAATTCTTGAGATATAAATCAATAGGATATTATCGATAGGGCACAAAGCCCTCTGTTAGCTAAGGTGGATTCAAATTTGTCCCCTTAGATAAACATCTACCCCAAGTCTTACAAGGTCCCCTTGGACGAAGCAACCCATGGCTGCCGACAAGGATCTTTCTGTCAGGTTGGGTCGACTACCTCCTCTAACTAAGTAGACCAGGGACCACGATGGCCCGGGATGATGGAACCAGGGGATCTTGATCGGGTTCATAATCCATTTACTCACCATCTGCTTTAATTGTAAGATTGTGCAATTTCTAATTTTAAATATCGAATCTCCAAATCTTCCAATCCTTCAAATTTTCAAATTCTCCAACCATTTCTAAACCCATGCTGCTACTATATGCCAGATAACGTGTTTCTCTACATATCTGATTGACAACTAGCCTTAATCGAAAGTTCTCTCTCGTGATTGGGAGGGGTATAACTATAGGGGCTTGCGCCTATAGGAAACCATAACTCAGATTATAAAGTCCTCGCAAAATGAGGGCGAAATCTCTGGGTAGTGTCTAATCTACAAACCCATATGCCTTCCAAAATTTACCCCGAAACTTATTTTGTTAAAACTCCCCCGAAAAGAAAAAAACAAGTCAGGCGGAGGCTGGGGCCGAATTTTCGGAGCCAACATTACCATTCTAATCTTCCTAATGATCCATTTATAAATATTTTCGTAGATTTACCAGCCTAGCATCTTTGATAGGTTAAACACATTACTTTATTCTAAATTTCTTTATGATTTGCCACCTTAGCCGCTAGTTCTGCTTGCATATGCTCATATGTAGAACCTCCATCTTACCTATTTCGCACAAAGTTTGGAAACAATATAAATGAACCTACTTTAAACCCAGCCATTCAAAGAAGTAAAATATATTATTATGATGATGACTATGAGATATTGATGTGTTATGCTCCTTTGTGGGGTTGTAATTATTAAGTTGAAGCCAAAATTGTTGTTAAGTCTTGATATACCCATCATTATACGACGCCTTAGCTACACATTGCAGTTTTTTGTTTTAATGGTCTAAGTTTCATCAGGAACTTCAAAGTTAAGTATGCTCATGCTAGCTTATTAGGAAAGTTAAACCAATAGGATAAAATCATGAGGCGTGTTTGGTCAATGCTGATAATATTTCAATGAATGTGAGTTTTAGCTGAGAATATTTCAATGAATGTGAGTTTTAGGCATGACATATAGTATTAGCAGAATACAACAATAAAAGATGAGAGCTATTATAGGATAACATGTTGTACCATAAGGACCTCTGAACCCATTGGGACAAAATTTTATGAAATGCGAGTCATTTTTAGATTCCTCCTGTATATGCTTGGTGGAATGTTTTAGGTTTTGTAAGGCAAAAAAGGATGGCATCAATTCCTTAAGGGGGGGAAATTGTAAGATCTTGTAAGTATATTGAAGCATAACTCCTAAGTATCGAGCAACCTTTTAGTATGATGGTTGGAGTTTTGTTAGGAACTTCAAAGTTAAACTTCTTGATGGATCACTTTCAGGATATGTGACTTGATTGGGAAGTTGCATGAAGAGAACACAATTGTGTGGCTTGTGTGGATAATATCCTGATGGATGAGAGTTTGAGTTGTGACATCCTGGATCCTCATTAAACCTACAATTTCATAATCAATGCTGGCAGACACCTCATTATTGAAGCAATATTAATCTCAATACAAGTAGGATGAACATGAGGTAAAAATTTGATCAAAATATATTCAAACAAAGTCCCCTTTAAGAAACTTTTTATGTTATATGCTGAAGTCAATCCCCTGTTGATTTTGGTTCTCTCCATCCCCATAGTATGCAAATCCCTTACAAGTTAGTAAACATAAGTGGATATATGATCGATATAATTATTTAACTCTCAACTCTCAACCTTGGTCCTTCTAAAAATGCATTTGTTCTCTTTTTGGATCCCAAACAATAAACTGAAAATCTTACTGAATGGGCTGCCCAGACTAAGTCAGTTGGTCCATTATGAGGCATAACTCAGAAAATTGTCTTTTGCTTCTTACTATTTTCCAATTTTTATGTATGAGATACTAGAAAAGTTCTGTGCGTTGCTTTACTTTGGACATATTTAGCTTATGAATCAACTATGGCGGCAAATAAGACTGGGAATACACCAACAAGAATTGCAACAATTCAAGAATTAGTTAGTCAGCACGTTCCTAAGAAGTTGAGCTTAATTGTGGACCTGTGGTGTTATGAATACATCAATTTAAAAAAAAAAAAAAAAAAAAAAACTTTTGACCTGAGCTCTTGAGTTTGTTTATTCTACCCTGCAAAGTCTATGCCATGATCGGCATATCCTTGGTAGCTTCATTGATGACTTGGTTACATTCTTCATGCTAGATATAATAAAAAATCTCTATGCTAGTTGTTGCCTCAGTCCTTGGTGATCTTCACTTCATTGAGCCCATGTCACCTTGATGTGGTAAACTGATGCTAAAGAGCAAGGAATGATTATTCAGATATTAGTTGCATTTTAGTCTATGTATAGACCTGACTGAATCATTGTAATAATCAAACAGCCTTTTCGTTGACTCTTGTAACCAGGTGTACACAAATCTTGAAGGAGGTCGTTCTCATGCAGTGAACACAGGATGGGCCATGTTAGCTCTAATAGATGCTGGACAGGTATTTATGATATTTAATTATTCAAATGCATCTTATTTGTATTTCTTTCTGTGATAATAAAGTATCAAATTATATTTCTTCTGAAAATCACATATTGGGTAGTACCTATACAGCTGATTTATCAATTTGGTCATTGAGAAAGGATTGGCAACAAATGAATATTCTCATTTTATGTGATTAGGTCACATTTTTTATGAATCTTATTTTACTGTGTTCCTCGCACGTTATTTTTAAGCAATATGTTCTATTCAGAATCTTCAAATCCTTAAATTGAATTAGAATTGGACATAATCCTTACATTAAATTAGAATAGGACATTTATGTTCATCTTAATCTTGTTAACAAGATTTAGAGTTAGGAACTATGCACCTGATTGTCAAAACAGAAGTTTGAACCATATATATTACTGGGATTTGTGACACATAAAAGAAGTGTTGAGAAAAAATAAATATACAGATGAGTAGAAAAAATTACATATATACATACACATGCCTACATAACAGCAATATGCATGCTAAAAAAATGCTTTGGATATTAATGTGGCCATCCAAAACGTTACTGTTCACATGCAAACTCAAAAAAAAATCGAGTACATACCCTTGCATGTGAATTATTTACTAGAATCGATGCAAATAACACATGTAGATGATATTTGTTAACATTGTTATTTTGGATTTGGTTTAATGCATCTTTGGCACAAAAACGTAGGATCCATGCTAATAAGTTTTTTAATAGACATAAAAATGTTGGTGGCTGAGCTATTCTTTTTATTGAAAATCTTATGAGACAATTTTGCAATTCATAAATTTTATATTCATCAGAAATATGAAATGTGTGTTGAGGCGAACAAATTAACAATTAACATTTCACCTAAATGTCTGCATAGCATGTTCTCATCTAATTCCTTTTTCCATCAAGCAGGCTGAAAGGGATCCAAAGCCATTAAATCGAGCAGCAAAAACCTTGATTAACATGCAGCTGGAGAGTGGTGAATTTCCTCAACAGGTAATTGCTAAAGCTTAATAGCAAAATATATGAGTTACTCATCAACAAGCTTAGCATTATAAGTCTAAGAAATGGCATTTCTTTTTTCATTTTTTATTCCTGCGAGGGTATATATGATGTATGATTGAACACGGAATAAGCCTTCATCGTTAAATAGATTTTTAACAATAACTATCCAAATAAACTACAATATTTTAGAAAAAGTATTGAAGAAATGTTAAAGTTATTAAAGATATATGATAGAAGTTATAACATTGTTTAATATTAGAAGTTACAAGTTTTTCATGCCATACCTGACGAGCAATTTTCCATGATGCAGGAAATTATGGGAGTTTTCAACAGAAACTGCATGATCAGCTATTCAGCATATCGGAACATATTTCCAGTATGGGCACTCGGAGAATATCGGACTCGGGTCCTGCGGGCTAGCCATTAACATCAACTGTACCTTCTTGAAGTTCGTGTGGAAGATGTTGAAGAAGGAGAAATTACTAGTGAGGATTTGAATAGACCTGGCATATAACCGGTTGTTTCCAACTTTGGTACGTCTAAATTTAAACTTCAGAAAGAGCTCAGGTCTTTAGGCAAATGTAACTCTATTATTTGTAATAGAAGGGGTGGTGTGCTGAAAAAATACAGCAGTGGGAGTATTCCCACTACTAAAGATTAAAGTCATCCATTATTTTTTGGGATAATAGAGGGGCTAAGAAAAAAGAATCCTCTCGATATTGAAGGAGATAGTGAATTCTGAAAACAAGTCGTATTCTTCCTCCACTTGGAAAATTATATTACATGGATCAAAAAGTTTGAAACCAATTGTTAGATGGAATATATACAATGGGTGTGATATCAATACCATTGAAGATGTATTGATTTTAGACAAAAGCTTGGAGAAATGGCCTACGTTGGTTGCGGATATGAGTGAAGATAATAAAGTTTTGTGTAATTTCATAAGAGAAGGGAAATGGGATGAATCTAAGCTGAGATAGGTTTTTGGAAAACATCCGATTGAGCTGATTATGTCAGTTCCAATAAATCCTTGTTTGAATAGAGATCAATTGGAATTGATTTCTAAATGCTATGGAAAGACTATCTCTGCATTAGCTGCAGGAATACAGAATGAAGATGTTGGGTTTGATAAACTTTGGATTTGGATGAAAATTTTGAAGCTTAGGCCACATAGAGTTATTCTGATGGCGTCTTAATAATAATGCTATTCCCTGTAATCAATTTCTTGAATTCTAATAATTTTTATGTTAATATTTTTGAAGGATCCGTCATGCAAACTGGCATGCAAACTGGCATGACAAGGATCATTTGCTTTAGTTGGCTGATGATGTTGTATGACTTAACATCCCTAATGATTGTAATTAAATATCTCATTTGGTTGTTAATAAATGAAATTTATATATTTTTAAAATGATTATTTATTTGATCTAATGCATTTAGAATACCCAATTTTAATATATGCTGATTTTTCCCACATAAAATGAAATTATTATTATTTTGATAAATGGCTTTCTATGTAAAAACTACAAGCAAGTCAATTGGGAATAATTTTGTTTTTGTTATTAAAAAGAGGTTTTTATTGGTATGGTGATATAAAATTTAATTTTTATTGGCATGAGATCCTATTCTTTAAACATTTAATAACATAATGGTGCTAATATTAGAGTTTAATATTAAACTTAAATTTTGTATATTTAATTCAAAAAATTAGAAATATTGTGTTAAAAATATATTAATGACTTCATTTTATTTTAAATCTTATAGAATTTGACTTTCTTTTTCATGCTAATTAATTTAACATAAAATTTTTAAATTTATTTAGTCATTAAAATATTTAAATTTTTATCCCTTAAAAAATTACCGGAATAAAAAATATAAAAGTGTTTGTTATTCAGTGTAATAAAATGATATTTTGCAACATGTATGATAAAAATATATAATTATTTTATATGTTTATTTATGACATTTAACTTTTATTTTTCTATTATTTGTTCAGCTCCAATAAAGAATCCCAGGGGATCCCAAGTTATTATTATTATTTTAATCAAATCATAATATCATTATCGATTAATCTTGTAAATATATTTTTATTTAGTTTGCTGAATTTGTTTCATTATATTGAACAAAAAATAAATATATTTCATATGTTATTTTTGATAGTTTTTAAAAGATGTATGTATATAAATATTTTTGGAATCATTATTTGTTACTAATTGTCATGAAAATTTATATTAAGTTTAACCATTAGGATTTATTTATCGTTGAGTTTAAAGTAAAAATAATTATTGAATTTGAAAATAAACTAATTATCTTTTAAAATGGATAAATATGTCATTCTTTTATGTTAACATTTGCTATGGTGGTATATTAGTAATTGTGAAAAGAAAATGATGGTATACTGGTATATATAGGCTAATGAATTGGACGATGCAGTGATATCTATGAAAATTAATAGTGATATACTCAATAATCCATATTGCAAATTATTTTTCAGCTTATTTTGGGAATGATTTAAAATCAGTTATGTAGAGGAAGTTTTTTTTTCTTCTCATTTAGTACTCCAAAATAAAAGAAGGGGATTTATAGACATATATCTTACTATTATGATATTATTGGTTCATCTTTACTAGTTTATGAATTTAGTAGTATACAATTTTATTGTATTAAAATTTATTAGTGGTTGACACCGGGCTACCGGGCCTAACTGCAACCTAGATAGGTAGAGCAACATAATAAGAGGGGGATGAAGTGGATATGCAGAATAGCTAAACAGTTGAATAATTTCTATGAATAGAATAAATGATATGAAGTCTAAAATATATATCTTAACATGTTATTTATAGGGTTAAGAGGGATAAAGGAAAGACTAAACCTAGAAGAAAAATGCATGATTTAAGAAGCATGGAATGATACATATATGTGAATAAGGTTGAAATGTACACACTTGGCTATCTATCTATAAAGTAACCTTAGAATTCTCGAGCGAGTAACACCCTTCATGGTGGCAGCTTGGAGGTGAGAGCTCTTAACGAGATTTCAAAGATGAGTGCCCTAGTCGAGTCCTCATGGATAAATATCTTGGGTGAATACACGTAGACGAACACAACAGATAAGTTGCTAGTCCCTCAGGGAAAGCAATGAGTTTTCAAGGCGAGTAATCCATGCAAGTGGCAGTGAGCTAGGGATAGACATAGTTGATGAAGTCATGATTGTGGGTTTATAGTTGTGTCCCTCTTTTAGCATAGCCAAGAATATCCGTAGAAAGTGGATGATATTAATTTCAAAGAACTGTTGAAAGAACTGAGCTTTTATAAAGTGAAAGCTTCATTGAGTGAAAGCATACAAAGGCGAGGTCTTTGATTGAGCATGTTCAAAAAATTTTCCTCTTTGGTGTGGCCTTTTGGGGCTAGCTCTTACAACACAAGTTTCATTGGGGAAAATTATATTATTTTAATTTTTTATAAAAAAAAATTCAAATTTTAAACGCTAATATTACCACATTGTAATATGATGCTAAAAATAAAATAATGATCAATATAAGTAATAAATAAAAGTGCAAGGGACAAAAATCACATACAAATAAATAACTTTTTTGTGCATGTTTTAATCGAGGCCTACATCCATGCCTATGTCTCCTACACACATAATATTTCTTGCAGAACATGCATTAATAAAAATCATTACTCCTTTGATAGGTGGAGAAGCCTTTTATGATAACCCTATTTTGAGACAAACTCTCCTTTCCAGGGGATAAATTCGTACAAGTGATTAAAAAATATATTAGGATAATACAAGAAAAATAAAATAGAAATTAATAGCATACAAAATATAATGATATCATACATGCAAATTTCTATGGCATGAAGATATCATACAAACCATACATTGAACTTCATAGATCGATCACATGGCAAGCAACCTTCTTAATCTCTTCATATGAATTGTAAAACTTGCTATATGGAGGACCTGGTAGCTACTCTTCTCATATAGGCTAAGGTTAAAGTGAATGAGCAAAACTAATTTTCACATATGGTTAAGTTTTAATATTTATATTTTGCACATAGGGTTTCACAAAATAAGTTAGAATAAATACTTTAACCTAATTATCAGCTACTAATAATTAAAATTTAAGTGAAATTGGATTGATTAGTTTCAAAAAATTATAATTCATTATAAAAAAACTTTCTTGTAATTGATATTAGTGAAGATCGTGGGCTTTGAAAATTCGTGCCCCGTGCCTTCTCTTTTTTTCAGGTCTTTGAGGAGAGTTTTAAAGAATAAATCTGAGGCAAGTTTTTATAATGCATATTGGGTTTAAGATAAAAAATTACCCAGAGATTTCGCCCTAAGTTTTTTAGGACTTTATGATTTGAATTTAAGTTTCCTATATGTACAAACCCCTATAGTTAATTACCCCTCCTAATAATGAGAGAAAACTTTTGATTAAGACTAGTTGTTGACTAGATACATTGTATCCAATGTATAATACCAGAAGAGTTTGGGTATTTGTAAATTTAATATTTAAAACCATATATTCACCACTTTTTACTTAAAGCAAACAGTGGGGGGAGTGATGATGAACCTGATCAAGATCACATGGTTCTATCATCCTGGATCATCATGATCTCTGGTCTACTTAGTCGGAGGAGGTAATAGACCCAACCTAACAGAAGGATCATTGTTGGCAGCCATGGGTTGCTTAGTTTAAGGGTATCTTTGTAAAGCTTAGTGAATATTTGTCTATGGGGATAAATTTAAAGCCATCTTATAGCTAATAAAGGGCTTTGTGTTCTATAAACAATATTCTAATGATTCATTACTCAATGATTTAGCATTGTTGGGGAACATATGGGATCTAACCATGATCATAATTTAATGATGCCATTTGGCGGCAAGACCACCAGGTCAAAGGGTTCCGGTCATAACTGTTACCTGTGGTACCATTTAGTGGCAAAACCACTAGTTAGAGGACACATGCCACATCCTTACTGGCAAGAGACAGATTGAGAATGAGTCTAAGTGATATTCTCTATTATATATTTGCTCTTTGAGAGTTGAAGTTGTTTTTAGACTTGTCCACCTCAACAACCGATTGCGGAGAGTGGATGAGTATTTTTTCTTTAAGTATTTAGGTGTTTTTATTTGAATTTTAAATATTTTAGATTTTGTTTTTTTTTTAAGTTTTAAATTTTCATGAGAAGTTGAGAAGCATTTCCAAATATTCGGAGTCCCCTCTAGTTGAGATTTTCTATCAATATAACCATCATCGGGATACTTATAGGTAATTTTGTTTTATTGGTCGAACCTTGACAAGTCTGTCTAGTTATCGATAAAGGATCAGTTTCGTCATAGGCATTAAGCTTTATTAATGAATTCTTATTGCAATAGGTTTTGATGGCATAATATGATCGTATAAAATAAATGCTCTCGTTGAAACTACGACCGTGTACTTATTCAAAGATTCAAGGCGTGTCAACTCTAACTATTTTATTGACAAAGGATTGTGTTTGAACAAATGTTTATTTCTTTACCCGCATAGCATCCTCAGGCTTCATGTGTGCATATATGTCTCTCTTGCTAGGGCCCATATAGGTATTTAATTGCATGTATGCATGTATGTTGGCATATACATTTGTACATGGCTTAATTGTGCTTGCATGATATGTTGATTTGTAGTGTAGTGGCATACTACATTAACATAATATATGATGTGTTTGCATAAAATGTATGTATGTTAGTATTTTGCATTTGTACGTTGCTCAACTGTGCTTGCATGATGTGTTGATATGTATGTTGACCTACAAACATAATCAGACCCAATCAACAAACCCGACCAAGTCCACC